GAGAGACCAGAGAGAGACCAGAGAGAGACTAGAGAGAGACCAGAGAAAGGGACCACAGATAGAGAGAGACTGGAGAAAAAGAGAGCAGGGAGGGAGACCAGAGACAGATGATGGGATGTAGTTGGAGTGAAAACCCGCAGGTCACAGTGAAGGACTTCTTCTCACGTCGCTCTGACTCTTCTTCTGCAAATACTTTTCATTTTTTAGGCTCTTTTGAAAAATAACCAGAAGCGAACGCCGGGAGCTGGTCTCGCTCTGAAACCATGTGTCTAAAGAGGAGCAGGGTTATTAGGGTGGAAATGTTTTTATTTTGATTTGACTGAACTGACCCAGGACTGAGGCTGTAGACCCAGGACTGAGGCTGTAGACCCAGGACTGAGACTGTAGACCCAGGACTGAGGCTGTAGACCCAGGACTGAGGCTGTAGACCCAGGACTGAGGCTGTAGACCCAGGACTGAGGCTGTAGATCCAGGACTGAGACTGTACACCCAGGACTGAGACTGTAGATCCAGGACTGAGGCTGTAGATCCAGGACTGAGGCTGTAGATCCAGGACTGAGGCTATAGTAGTAGTAAGTAAGTAATCTTTATTTATATACCGCCTTTTCACTGCAGATCTGAGTCTCAAAGCGGTTTACAATTGTTAATTTTTGGGCATTTGTCTCCCACTCCACACAGAGATGGGAGCGGGGCCAGTACACAAGGCGCATGCCAGAACTATTGGACATATTTTTAGTGGTAGGGGAAACCGGAGTACCCGGAGGAAACCTACGCAGACACGGGGAGAACATGCAAACTCCACTCAGAAAGGCCCTGGTCCGACCGGGATTCGAACCCAGGACCTTCTTGCTGAGAGGCGAGAGTGCTATCCACTCAGCCACCGTGCCGCCCATAGACCCTGGACTGAGGCTGTAGACCCAGGTCTGAGGCTGTAGACCCAGGACTGAGGCTGCAGACCCAGGACTAAGGCTGTAGACCCAGGACTGAGGCTGTAGATCCAGGACTGAGGCTTTAGATCCAGGACTGAGGCTGTAGATCCAGGACTGAGGCTGTAGATCCAGGACCGAGACTGTAGACCCAGGACTGAGGCTGTAGACCCAGGACTGAGGCTGTAGATCCAGGACTGAGACTGTAGACCCAGGACTGAGGCTGTAGACCCAGGACTGAGGCTGTAGACCCAGGACTGAGGCTGTAGATCCAGGACTGAGACTGTAGACCCAGGACTAAGGCTGTAGATCCAGGACTGAGGCTGCAGACCCAGGACTGAGGCTGTAGATCCAGGACCGAGACTGTAGACCCAGGACTGAGGCTGTAGACCCAGGACTGAGGCTGTAGATCCAGGACTGAGACTGTAGACCCAGGACTGAGGCTGTAGACCCAGGACTGAGGCTGTAGACCCAGGACTGAGGCTATAGACCCAGGACTGAGGCTGTAGACCCAGGACTGAAGCTGTAGACCCAGAACTGAGGCTGTAGATCCAGGACTGAGGCTGTAGACCCAGGACTGAGACCATAAGATCTGAAATTACAACCCAGAAAAACCTCTCTAACTTACCTCCTTTAAAAGCAAATCCTTAACAGCACAATATAATAATAATAATAATAATAATAATAATAAATCCACTTCCTTTTTGAGCTGAAGCGTTTTGAGAGCGAGGCAGGGGGCCCTTTAAAGTCTCCGTTTGAGTCCTTTGATTGGTCGCCGGGGGAGACGCCAGAAAGCAGCCAAGGCCCGACCGTGACTTTTTGCAAATTGATCTGAAGAACCATCTCGTGCGACCGTCCCGTCTGACGCCCTCGGACTCCACTTTGGGAACCACTTACGACCGGTGGCGAGATAACAGGCCCCTCTAACAGCGCCCGGCAGACGATTGGCCCCGTTACCCAGAAGCCACCGCTGGATTTTAAGCTAGCGAAGAACAAAGAGAAAGTTTTTCGGTGGAGACTATTAGAGATGTGGAGAAATGGATGTTGCGTCGAGGGAGGAAGAGGAGGGGAGAGGAGAGGAGAGGAAGAGGAGAGGAAGGGGAGAGGAAGGGGAGAGGAAGAGGAGAGGAAGGGGAGAGGAAGGGGAGAGGAAGGGGAGAGGAAGGGGAGAGGAAGAGGAGAGGAAGAGGAGATGAAGGGGAGAGGAAGAGGAGAGGAAAGGAAAAGGAGAGGAAGAGGAGAGGAAGGGGAGAGGAAGAGGAGAGGAAGAGGAGAGGAAGAGGAGAGGAAGAGGAGAGGAAAGGAAAAGGAGAGGAAGAGGAGAGGAAGGGGAGAGGAAGAGGAGAGGAAGAGGAGAGGAAGAGGAGAGGAAAGGAAAAGGAGAGGAAGAGGAGAGGAAGGGGAGAGGAAGGGGAGAGGAAGAGGAGGGGAAGAGGAGAGGAAGGGGAGAGGAAGAGGAGAGGAAAGGAAAAGGAGAGGAAGAGGAGAGGAAGGGGAGAGGAAGAGAAAAGGAAGAGGAGAGGAAGGGGAGAGGAAGGGGAGAGGAAGGGGAGAGGAAGGGGAGAGGAAGGGGAGAGGAAGAGGAGAGGAAGAGGAGAGGAAGAGGAGAGGAAAGTTGGTAATGGGAGAAATGACACGGTTAGAGTTGTACATTTGGAAAGCAGGGACTAAAGAAAGTTTTAAGATTGTTTTTTGGGATGTGGTGTGTGGTTTATTAGGGCTGGGGAACGTTCTTAGCAAAGGGATGATGACTTAAAACAGTGACAACTCATTTAAAGTCATAAAGAATTGGATAATCATTTACTTTTTATTTGAATCTGCTCAAAAAGTCCTTGATTTTGGTTTTCAGTGACAGGAGTGGTTGACAGAGGTCCTGTTAGATTGTAAGATTAAAGACCTCACTTGGGGCGAAGGAAGGGTCAGTGTGAAGAGTATCGGCCTTTGAGCCTGAAGGTCGTGGGTTCGAGTCCACCATGACACCTTCTCCACCGACTCCACTGATGTCTGCTGTCGTCGTGTCCTTGGGCAAGACAACAATGAATGGAATTGCTCTTCTTGAGATCATTGGTGAGACCGTTCCACAAGTGAATTACAGCACAACCCTCAGACAGGACACTCTCTGACCCTACACCCCTCAGACAGGACACTCTCTGACCCTACACCCCTCAGACAGGACTCTCTCTGACCCTACACCCCTCAGACAGGACACTCTCTGACCCTACACCTCTCAGACCGGACATTCTCTGACCCTACAACCCTCAGACAGGACACTCTCTGACCCTACACCCCTCAGACAGGACACTCTCTGACCCTACACCTCTCAGACCGGACACTCTCTGACCCTACAACCCTCAGACCGGACACTCTCTGACCCTACACCTCTCAGACAGGACACTCTCTGACCCTACACCTCTCAGACAGGACACTCTCTGACCCTACACCTCTCAGACAGGACACTCTCTGACCCTACACCTGTCTGTGCAGGACACTCTCTGACCCTACACCCCTCAGACAGGACACTCTCTGACCCTACACCCCTCAGACAGGACACTCTCTGACCCTACACCTGTCTGTGCAGGACACTCTCTGACCCTACACCCCTCAGACAGGACACTCTCTGACCCTACAACCCTCAGAAAGGACACTCTCTGACCCTACACCTCTCAGACAGGACACTCTCTGACCCTACACCTCTCAGACAGGACACTCTCTGAATCTACACCTCTCAGACAGGACACTCTCTGACCTACACCTCTCAGACAGGACCTCTCTGACCTACACTCTCAGACAGGGATCTACACCTCTCAGACTGACCCTACCTACACTGTCTCAGACAGGACACTCTCTGACCCTACACCTGTCTGTGCAGGACACTCTCTGACCCTACACCCCTCAGACAGGACACTCTCTGACCCTACACCCCTCAGACAGGACACTCTTTGACCCTACACCTCTCAGACAGGACACTCTCTGACCCTACACCTGTCTGTGCAGGACACTCTCTGACCCTACACCTGTCTGTGCAGGACACTCTCTGACCCTACACCCCTCAGACAGGACACTCTCTGACCCTACACCTCTCAGACAGGACACTCTCTGACCCTACACCTCTCAGACAGGACACTCTCTGACCCTACACCTGTCTGTGCAGGACACTCTCTGACCCTACACCCCTCAGACAGGACACTCTCTGACCCTACACCTCTCAGACAGGACACTCTCTGACCCTACACCTCTCAGACAGGACACTCTCTGACCCTACACCTGTCTGTGCAGGACACTCTCTGACCCTACACCCCTCAGACAGGACACTCTCTGACCCTACACCTCTCAGACAGGACACTCTCTGACCCTACACCTGTCTGTGCAGGACACTCTCTGACCCTACACCTCTCAGACAGGACACTCTCTGACCCTACACCTCTCAGACAGGACACTCTCTGACCCTACACCTCTCAGACAGGACACTCTCTGACCCTACACCTGTCTGTGCAGGACACTCTCCTGACCCTACACCCCTCAGACAGGACACTCTCTGACCCTACACCCCTCAGACAGGACACTCTCTGACCCTACACCTGTCTGTGCAGGACACTCTCTGACCCTACACCCCTCAGACAGGACACTCTCTGACCCTACAACCCTCAGAAAGGACACTCTCTGACCCTACACCTCTCAGACAGGACACTCTCTGACCCTACACCTCTCAGACAGGACACTCTCTGAATCTACACCTCTCAGACAGGACACTCTCTGACCCTACACCTCTCAGACAGGACACTCTCTGACCCTACACCTGTCTGTGCAGGACACTCTCTGACCCTACACCCCTCAGACAGGACACTCTCTGACCCTACACCCCTCAGACAGGACACTCTTTGACCCTACACCTCTCAGACAGGACACTCTCTGACCCTACACCTGTCTGTGCAGGACACTCTCTGACCCTACACCTGTCTGTGCAGGACACTCTCTGACCCTACACCCCTCAGACAGGACACTCTCTGACCCTACACCTCTCAGACAGGACACTCTCTGACCCTACACCTCTCAGACAGGACACTCTCTGACCCTACACCTGTCTGTGCAGGACACTCTCTGACCCTACACCCCTCAGACAGGACACTCTCTGACCCTACACCTCTCAGACAGGACACTCTCTGACCCTACACCTCTCAGACAGGACACTCTCTGACCCTACACCTGTCTGTGCAGGACACTCTCTGACCCTACACCCCTCAGACAGGACACTCTCTGACCCTACACCTCTCAGACAGGACACTCTCTGACCCTACACCTGTCTGTGCAGGACACTCTCTGACCCTACACCCCTCAGACAGGACACTCTCTGACCCTACACCTGTCTGTGCAGGACACTCTCTGACCCTACACCTCTCAGACAGGACACTCTCTGACCCTACACCCCTCAGACAGGACACTCTCTGACCCTACACCTGTCTGTGCAGGACACTCTCTGACCCTACACCCCTCAGACAGGACACTCTCTGACCCTACACCTCTCAGACAGGACACTCTCTGACCCTACACCTGTCTGTGCAGGACACTCTCTGACCCTACACCCCTCAGACAGGACACTCTCTGACCCTACACCCCTCAGACAGGACACTCTCTGACCCTACACCTCTCAGACAGGACACTCTCTGACCCTACACCTGTCTGTGCAGGACACTCTCTGACCCTACACCCCTCAGACAGGACACTCTCTGACCCTACACCCCTCAGACAGGACACTCTCTGACCCTACACCTCTCAGACAGGACACTCTCTGACCCTACACCTGTCTGTGCAGGACACTCTCTGACCCTACACCCCTCAGACAGGACACTCTCTCACCCTACACCTCTCAGACAGGACACTCTCTGACCCTACACCTCTCAGACAGGACACTCTCTGACCCTACACCCCTCAGACAGGACACTCTCTGACCCTACACCTCTCAGACAGGACACTCTCTGACCCTACACCCCTCAGACAGGACACTCTCTGACCCTACACCTCTCAGACAGGACACTCTCTGACCCTACACCTGTCTGTGCAGGACACTCTCTGACCCTACACCTCTCAGACAGGACACTCTCTGACCCTACACCCCTCAGACAGGACACTCTCTGACCCTACACCTCTCAGACAGGACACTCTCTGACCCTACACCCCTCAGACAGGACACTCTCTGACCCTACACCTCTCAGACAGGACACTCTCTGACCCTACACCTGTCTGTGCATGACACTCTCTGACCCTACACCCCTCAGACAGGACACTCTCTGACCCTATACCTCTCAGACAGGACACTCTCTGACCCTACACCTCTCAGACAGGACACTCTCTGACCATACACCCCTCAGACAGGACACTCTCTGACCCTACACCTCTCAGACAGGACACTCTCTGACCCTACACCTCTCAGACAGGACACTCTCTGACCCTACACCTGTCTGTGCAGGACACTCTCTGACCCTACACCTCTCAGACAGGACACTCTCTGACCCTACACCTCTCAGACAGGACACTCTCTGACCTTACACCTCTCAGACAAGAAACTCTCTGACCCTACACCTCTCAGACAGGACACTCTCTGACCCTACACCTGTCTGTGCAGGACACTCTCTGACCCTACACCCCTCAGACAGGACACTCTCTGACCCTACACCCCTCAGACAGGACACTCTCTGACCCTACACCTCTCAGACAGGACACTCTCTGACCCTACACCTCTCAGACAGGACACTCTCTGACCCTACACCTCTCAGACAGGACACTCTCTGACCCTACACCTGTCTGTGCAGGACACTCTCTGACCCTACACCCCTCAGACAGGACACTCTCTGACCCTACACCCCTCAGACAGGACACTCTCTGACCCTACACCTCTCAGACAGGACACTCTCTGATCCTACACCTCTCAGACAGGACACTCTCTGACCCTACACCTCTCAGACAGGACACTCTCTGACCCTACACCTCTCAGACAGGACACTCTCTGACCCTACACCTGTCTGTGCAGGACACTCTCTGACCCTACACCCCTCAGACAGGACACTCTCTGACCCTACACCTGTCTGTGCAGGACACTCTCTGACCCTACACCCCTCAGACAGGACACTCTCTGACCCTACACCGCTCAGACAGGACACTCTCTGACCCTACACCTCTCAGACAGGACACTCTCTGACCCTACACCTCTCAGACAGGACACTCTCTGACCCTACACCTCTCAGACAGGACACTCTCTGACCCTACACCTCTCAGACAGGACACTCTCTGACCCTACACCTGTCTGTGCAGGACACTCTCTGACCCTACACCTCTCAGACAGGACACTCTCTGACCCTACACCCCTCAGACAGGACACTCTCTGACCCTACACCTCTCAGACAGGACACTCTCTGACCCTACACCTGTCTGTGCAGGACACTCTCTGACCCTACACCTCTCAGACAGGACACTCTCTGACCCTACACCTCTCAGACAGGACACTCTCTGACCCTACACCTCTCAGACAGGACACTCTCTGACCCTACACCTGTCTGTGCAGGACACTCTCTGACCCTACACCTCTCAGACAGGACACTCTCTGACCCTACACCCCTCAGACAGGACACTCTCTGACCCTACACCTCTCAGACAGGACACTCTCTGACCCTACACCCTTCAGACAGGACACTCTCTGACCCTACACCTCTCAGACAGGACACTCTCTGACCCTACACCCCTCAGACAGGACACTCTCTGACCCTACACCTCTCAGACAGGACACTCTCTGACCCTACACCTCTCAGACAGGACACTCTCTGACCCTACACCCCTCAGACAGGACACTCTCTGACCCTACACCTCTCAGACAGGACACTCTCTGACCCTACACCTCTCAGACAGGACACTCTCTGACCCTACACCTCTCAGACAGGACACTCTCTGACGGCTGCAGCTGTAAAGTGCCAAACTGCTGTTGTGTCCATAGGCAAGACACTTCCCCCACAGTTGAATGAGTCTGGTGTGTGTGTGAATGGTTGGTGGTGGTGGGAGGGGCCGATGGCACAGACTGGTTGCCTTGCTTCTGTCAGTGTGCCCCAGGGCAGCTGTGGCTACAGTAGTAGTGAAGTATCTTGGTCCAATAAAAGCGCTGTATAAAACCTGTGTGTTATTATTGTGTTGTTTGGATTTGTTCACAGATTAGTTTTACACTCTACAGTTTCTAAACTTGGTGAGTGATTGCAGAGTTCGTGGGCTTGTTGTACCTCCGCGTGTGAAAGCAAACAAAACCAGGCCAATCCATACCAGAGGAGGGGAGTCCGCACTGCTGCAAAACACAGTAAAGTACAAGGAGGACACAAGCAAGAAGCAGAGGAAGAGGAAAGTAAACTTCAACTCAATCCATCACTGTCTAACTCTAAATCACATCTGCAGAGAACCTCACACACTGCACAGACCAGGAGGACCGGGGCAGACATCTTGGAAAGACTTTGGGCAGACATCTTGGAGAGACCAGGGGCAGACATCTTGGGGAGACCAGGGGCAGACATCTTGGAGAGACCAGGGACAGACATTTTGGAGAGACCAGGGGCAGACATCTTGGAGAGACCAGGGGCAGACATCTTGGAGAGACCAGGGGCAGACATCTTGGAGAGACCAGGGGCAGACATCTTGGAGAGACCAGGGGCCGACATCTTGGAGACCAGGGGCAGACATCTTGGAGAGACCAGGGACAGGCATCATGGAGAGACCAGGATCAGACTTCTGGGAGACCAGGGGGAGTCATCTGGAAGACCTGAGACTTACATCCAGCTCAAAGCAGTTTTCTGCCTTTTAAATACTGTCCATAAATAATTTTTGGCAATTTCTAAGGCGAAATTAGGTTATTTACGATTGAATAGCTGTGCTTGCAAATAATTTGTAAATGATTTCTACTCCTCCCTCTGATGGTAGCATAGGGATAGGGCAGACCGTGAGCATTATTCACCCTTCATGATATTTTCACTGTATATTGCCAAAGGGAACATTTCAAGAGATCTTTTTTTCCTTCGACTGTCAGACTGTACAACAAACCTGACTGACTGTACAACAACAAAAAGAGTCTTCTGCTGCTGGACACCTTATTTTCTCCTACGGTGGATCAATAAAGTATCTATCTATCTATTTTCCTCTGTAGAAAACATCTTAAAGCCAAGGCTCTCATGGCCAAAAGTAATGTGTAATATTCATGGGTGAAAGTGAATGCAAATGACGCATAATTCTTACACAACGTTTCCTTTTACTCTAAAACTTTCCGTGGAGCAGATGGCCCAAAATAAACATAACCCAAATACAGTCGCTACAGTAAACAAGCGCAGAGGAAGACACTGAAGGCTTCATACACGAGCAGATCAGAAACACAGAAACAGAGCTGAGGAGCAGAGCAGCTGAAGGGTCCATTTCCCACAGTGACGGGGCGGGTTAGGAGGCACAGTGAGCTGGGGAGAGGAGGAGAGAGGAGGGACCAGGAGCAGGAGAGAGGAGGAGGAGGAGGGAGGGTGAGCTGGAGAGAGGAGGAGGAGGAGGGACCAGGAGCAGGAGAGAGGAGGAGGAGGAGGGAGGGTGAGCTGGAGAGAGGAGGAGGAGGAGGAGGGAGGGTGAGCTGGAGAGAGGAGGAGGAGGAGGGAGGGTGGAGCAGGAGAAAGGAGGAGAGAGGAGGGAGGAGGGTGAGCTGGAGAGAGGAGGAGGAGG